GGCGCGGCGGCCCAGGGAGGCGGCGGCGGCGGCGGCCGGTGGAGGGACGGTAGGGATTTAGGGGCGGAAAAATGCGGTGCCGGTGGGTAATGGTCCGGTCGTCATTGTTCTATTTTGGGGGCGGCCATGGAATTGTAGGTGCAGAGAGAAAGGCGGAAGAAGATACGCCAGAAATAGGTTTTTGTGTTTTAGTGCGGTAAGGAAGCAACAGACTTACAGCGCGGGAAGTGTGTGAGAGCATTGAGTGGCGTTGCGCATACACCAGCTTCACCCTGACGTTAATATTTTGTTTTTCTGAAATGAGAGTGCCCTCCTCGTCCAACTGCGAAGCTCCTACAACTCTTAGGGTCACAGTGGGACCGACCGCGGTCGCTCGTGGAAGATGTTCGACCTTAGTACTCTTCTATGAAATTCATATGATCAACGCTGAGCTCTCCACTTTCTATTTTTCTTCTCTGGCCTCTTCTTCCTCAACCTTCGCTCTTGCTCTTCTCATCCCCCTTGCTTCTCTCCTATCTGCTCCACATCATTTCTCTACTGCCAGCCTCATGGCAGGTCGCTATGATCCAAATCCCTTCGACGAAGAGGAGGTTTGGTTTTTCATTTTTACTTTGTTCAACCCAAGGGTGTCAAATCTAAAATTTTTCAAGGAATTTGATCCGCTATGGGATTTGTATTTTTCTTTTTTTTTGCCTTTTTTTTGATTCCTGATGCCAATTGATTCACTATTGTTTCCAGAGGAACTTAATTGGGGAACTTGCAGTATATTTTAGGAAATTTTTTATTGGGATAATTTTTACTGTGTTGTTGGAGTTCATCTGGAGAGTTTTGAATCCTTGAATAGTTTGTTGGTGAGATGTTGCTTCTTGTGCTATTTTTGTTCAATGGTTCCATGAAGTTTCAAGAATTCTTTTGAACTGGAGCTTCGATGTGAGAGTAATGGAGACTGTTTGTTGAGGGATTTGGAGTGAAAAGATATTGTAGATGACCAATTAATGAATCTAGATCAGCTTTGGTATAATGACAGAAGTTTACCAACTCCTTTGATGTTCCTAGTTTCTTTGCAATTATTTGTTTGCAACCATGTGTACAATAATTTTTTTAGTTAGATTTTGCTTATGATTTTGTTGGAGATTACTGATACCTTGATATGCTTTACTTTAGATTTAGTAAATTAGCTAGCTTTGGGATGTAGTAGTTTGAACAGTAGCTCGATTAATTTCTGTCAGGGATAGAAGGAAAATTTAATTTATTTTACAAGGAGAAGATAAGTTGAAAAGTGGTTTGTGCAGCAGATAGTGCTTGTCCCTCATGTGGTTTCTTGGTGTAAAGAGGCAGGCTCTCTTGTTTGGGAGAACAAACTGGGATAAAGTAATTGTAATTTTTCAATCTGGGTGGAACATCAACTTAATGGTTATAAAATGTGAATTTATTTATTTATGACAAAATCTATAATATTTACAGTATTCTAAAAAGGTTATTTCCTAGGTCAAAATATTTACTCAAGTGAGAGGCTACATAACTAGTGCAGAATGTTATATTTTGCAACTAATTTGTGCTTCGAAATATCAAATATAGTGCTGTTATAATTATGTTTTAAACAACTTCACGAAACAGAGACATGATGATCATTTTTCTAAAAACAGCTGCCCCACAGCTGTTTTCACACAGCTATAACAAACAGACAGTCAGTTTCCCCGCAGCAGCTTTCTGGGGCAGTGCAGTTGCAGCTGCGCCAAACATAACCTTAACCAACATGTGTTAAGTTGGAGAAATTATTATCTTTGTGATTGGGTAATAGTGTGAATCGTATGATGCTGTACATCTGCTATTTCATACTGTCGCATCTGATTTATAGGACATAATATATATATATATATATATATATATATATATATA